CTACAGGGTATTGAAATTTTATTTAAAGTAACAAAAAATAATTTTTGATGCTTTTCCTGCAGTATTCGGTCAAAAAATAATTTTTTCCACGTTTTGGCAAAAAGGAACCAGTGTGCGACGTTTCAGAGTGGCAAAGAAAACCGCAAAGTTTATTAAGGAGGTCCTTTCGCCACCAATGTTAAATAAAAAATATTAGATTATGACTAAAATTAATTTTTTTCTAATAGTTGAAGTCCTTATTTATCTAATAGTGAACTTTTAACTATACCTTACCGTGCAAATTTTTGAGAATTTTTTTTTTTTGTGAGTATTTGTACAGTGTCTTACGAGAAAGTAAGACTTCAACAACAATTTTCGAATTATAATTAAGTATACTATTATTTATTGATTAGACAGAGTAAAAAAAAAACTAAAAATAAGGTTTTTGAAATATTTAGGTTTTGTTTTTTACAATAAAATATATAGGTTACCGTGGAATTTATTAAGAAATTAATATTAAAAACTAACAAAAAATTTTCAACTAGGTTACTTGAATTTTTTTTTTAATATTAATTTCTCAATAAATTCCACGGTAACCTATATATTTTATTGTAAAAAAACAAAACCTAAATATTTCAAAAACCTTATTTTTAGTTTATTTCTACTCCATCTAATCAATAAATAATAGTATAATTCGAGAATTGTTGTTGAGGTCTTACTATCTCGTAAGACACTGTACAAAAACTCACATTTTTAAAAAAAATTCTCAAAAATTTGCACGGTAAGGTATAGTTAAAAGTTCACTATTAGATAAATAAGGCCTTCAACTATTAGAAAAAAAATAAATTTTAGTCATAATCTAATGTTTTTTATTTAACATTGGTGGCGAAAGGGGCGACGAAAGGACTTCCTTAACAGGTTCAGCGCCGTAGCGGACACCGGTGTATGATCTCTAACTTTCCGCGTAGGCCACGGCGGACACCGGTGTCCGCTGCATTATCGGTATTTTATTTGTTCCGCCAGGCCGAGCGGTTACATTTATATCAGATTTTATCATTTAGGGTGGAAGCTGGGGCCTGTCAGACTTGTATGCTAGTGCCAGGCTATTGGTAGCGGTTTTAATAAGTTAGATGGATGTCATAAATTGGATATATGTTTTTTATGCATTTTTAGATTTGCAAATCAAACTTAAATATATATTTTAATCATTTTTAATAGTGTCATAAGCTAAATCACATTAAAATAAACCTAAATTATCAAAGGAAATAGTGAAAAATTTTTGTTAACTTAACTTAGAAGAAAAATATAAGTTTTCTTGCAATAAACTCAAAATATTTAAAAAAGTATGTTGGTCCGGGTAAAAGGTTTTGCCTAAAAAGCTTGGTGCTCAACCTGTTAAGTGCTATTTACCTGAAGATATTTGAGTCAGAAATTATCAAAAATAATGTTCTAAACCAAACAGAAACCTCTTTTTTATTTCAACTGATTTAACGACAATTATATTTCCCCGTTAGTGTCCGTTATTAAGAAGTTTTACTGTATGTTAATTTTATGCGTACCCTATCCATATTTTTTAATTATATCAAAAGTATCCATAGTTTTTTCTTGTTAGAATGTAAAATTTATTTTAACCATAATATATAAAAGTTTTATAAACTCACCACCTATTATACAGATGAATAAAAGAACGAGACACTTCATGATTGAAAAACAAATTCAGAATAATAATAATAGAACGAATTTGTATCCAAGAAATAATTTTATATCGATTAAATATTTAGTAGTTTATTCATATATTAATTAATAAACAATTAAACTGATAAAAGTAATAAAGATGATGACTCTTTTATTTTTCTGAAACATTATTTTTGCATATTAAGAAAATGTATAAGTACTGTGATAGAAAGATAAATAGTTATTAATTTTTTTGATAAATATGTTAATAATGATAATATTTTTTTCAATGACATAATATTCAAAATATGTAGAATCAGCCAATAAAAGCTTCCTGAGTATTAAACTAATATTTTTCTATAAACTGTCTCTCATTATTTTTTTACTGGTAATATAATCGAAAAACCAAACTGTTTCATGCAAATCATTTTTTGCTTTATTTTAATAACGCAAAAAGTGGAGTTAGTTTTTTGCGAGAATATTTTGTTGCTGTCAATTTTAAATGGTTCCGGGTTTTCGTACTAGTCTAAATGATATTAAGATGGCGCTATTTTTCTTTGTTTCATATTCCTTTTGCTTGATGAAGACCTAAGGATATGGTCCGTTATCAACCGAAAATTCGGTTACTCAGTCCAAAACCTCTCTGTTTGACATTCCTGAAAAATTGGTTAAATTAGGGACGTGGTTACCTGAAAATTGTGACTCAAACGCAGAGATAACCAGGAGATGTAACTGCTAACAAATATCGTGCGGCCGTGAATAAGACATATTCTAAAGGACACAGTAGGGTATAGAGAAAATAAAAGTTGAAAAGTCTTTTGGTAGGTAGAGAGGGGGTAAACGTCAAACCACGTCGGGCGGCTCCGAGAATTTCGCAGTAATGTTTACCTACCAGTGTCGTTTCATAGAATAAGTAATTTTAAATTGTTATCGGCGGAACCGGACAATTGCATGTATTTATGGATTATAAATAATTATTAAACATGTATTTTAATATTCAAATCATAATTTTACAAAATTTCAACAGCTATTCACAATTTATTAAACTATTTGCTCGAAATTGTTATTAACATCTATAAAATAATTTTGTACACCAATGTATCGCGTCCACTTCGGTGAAATCCGCTGCCAACCTATCAATTTATGTGTATAAAGTGGGAGAACTGGCAAAAGCATTTCCAACTTTTACTTCTGTTCTGTAATATCCGCTGTCATTATTAGTAAAGTGTATGTATTAAAATATTCGCTCAAGAAAACGATTTACCTCCTACTCTTTTGTCACAAGCTGAATTTTTCACAGATGAAAGGTCATGATAAGGTAACCCTTATTCCGGAGGTAATATAAAATTAGACTGTGCAGAAGGGCACTATCATCAAAAATCCAGATATTGATACCACCGAATGAAGAAAAAAATACTCATTTTTTGGTCAAATGCACAATAAAATCTTTGTAGGGAGTAATTGTTCATACTTATTTAAAAAAAAAATCATTTGCATTAGCCCTTACGACTGAAAAAAAATATAAACGTAAATATCTTGGTTTTAGCCCTTCAACAATTTAGTTAAAAAGTCGTCTTTTTTAAATATACCACTCATTTAACAAAAACCGAAGGCCTAAATGAAAAAAAAACATTCTTTATAAAATTGTTGCTTATGTGTTGACAAAGTAACAGAGTGAAAGTATTGGTACCTGTCAATGATATATAATTTTTTTTTAATAATAATCCTAAAATACATTATTAAGACATTTTTGAAGAGTGTAAAAAAGTCTTGAGAACATTGTGGCGATTTAAAAAATAACCGTTATATGTTATGAAATTCTAAAACCGGCCCTGTGTCTAAAGCAAGCGCGAATTTTTAGCTGGCACTCGACTCATGCTCGAGGTGACGGAATGTTGAGGAATGCCGCTGACGCACTAGCAACGGCTAGAACGGGCGGAGAGTGCCGTTGAGTCAAAGAATACATTTTCGGGACCGTCTAGAGTATTCCTGGTTACAGAGTTGGCTTGATATAAATATCCTGAGTTTGAAGACGGTAGTCAGTTGATTATAGATAGTTTAGTTTAGAGCATTGTAATGAAAAGTTAAAGTGTAAGAAATACATTAGAATTGTTAGTTAGTATCTAAGTATTTTATAAATTAAGTAGTACGTCTGAAATAAATTGTAAATAGTGTGTTTTAAATAAATAAACTATAAATAAATTAGACTATCGTCACATTATGTATTTATTTACATGGCCGACTAGAGGGGGGTAGCCGGGACCAATTTCCGGGGCCCGGACTCAAATGGGGGCCCGGGAGCGGTATAAGGGGGGCCCAGAAACTGGTTTTTTTGTTTTGTATGAGAAATTCGACACAAGACGAGAGGGGGAAGTTTTAGATTGGGGACCTTTTTTTTAGAAAAAGCAATTGAAGTACAGGATGAAAAGGTTTTGCTTGAGGACCTTTTGTTTTGTTTTTTTTTTCTAGAAAATTGAATCCAAGTAGAGGAATTGTTTGAAGAGCTGTTTTTTTGTCACGGGGCCCGATCTAGGGAATTATCCTGGGGCCCAGCTTGGTTCTCGGCGCCCCTCATTTATTATAATGGTTGAAAATAAAAATTACGTTAAAACTTATTGAATTTTATTGTAAGACTGCAGGAAGAGTACATAATAAGAACGTTGTGTAATTTGAAGGTAGCTTACTATAAAAAAAACTGCTCTTATATCGATTGTGACATGATATTACTTAATTGTATGCAGTTTTAGTTTGTTGTATTTATGGTAAGATAATATTTATTCTAGTTTTGTATTTTCAATGGCTTTTTGAAGATCATTTGAAAGTGATAAAAACTCTGTTTCCAGAATGTATATTGTAGGACCATATTCTTAAAATTTATTTTTAAATATACAATTATTAGGCATTTCAGCCAACTTAATTTTTTGACAGTTACAATTGTTGCCTGATGCTGTGTTGTTGATACGTGTTTGAATTTGATCTTGTGAAAAACGAGTTAATTTGGAAATTTATATAATTTGTATTAACATGCTGAACTAAAACATTTACACCATTATTTAAACTAATTATGTACAAAAACAACTTGAACAGATAAGTAAATAAAATTTTGTGTGTCAAAACTTTATCAGGCAACCATTTGGACAAGACATTGGAATTCCTTATTAGGTAGTTGAACTTATGCTTCTATCTTAACACGTTAACTGCCACACTAGGATATAAAAACTAAAACACCTTGTTACTTAGACATAGAAAGTATGAGAATACATGGAAAACCTTATAATTGGTATAAATAAAGACAATACAAAAACAAAACAAACTAAAACGATAAAAATTTATTTAAAAAATAATTATATCATCTGTTTTACAAACTTCTTCTTATCACATTTATTGTTCTTTTGTTTCACATGGTTGTTCCAAAGCTCTTGTATAGTCGCTGGTGAATTTTTGTACCTTTGAGTCATTGGAGCAGTACTTATTTAAGGTTTTTGGGAAACAGTTTCCAGCTGGCAAGAATTTACTAAAAATAATAAAAAGACACAATGAATATATATGGTAGTTGACACATACAATTATAAAAGCACTGGCAAATATTGGGCGTCTAGCAAAATTAAAATTATAATATAAATATAAAAAAAAAGAAGTGAACTGTTTAAAATTTGATTAATCAAAAAAAAAAAAATATTGCAATAAATACATCCAAAAATAAGTAAAACAATTTTAGCAACACATATGGGTACAAAGTTGCTACGAAATCAATTGATTACAGAAAAGAATCTTCCACTAAAACGCTTTATTAAAATATAAAACAAAAAATAAAATCCAAAATATCAAAGATAATGGTTTACCAACACAACTATGTACATTCCAGGAGTAAATACTTTTTTCGAAGCAACCCAATCAATAAAGAAGATAGCATATAATTTGAGGAGGAAGAATACTTTCAAATACTATCCAATCAGAAAAATTTTGCTCCGGGATCCGCACATTGCGATAAAAAATAGAATATATGCACATCTACAATAGGTCAACCCATGGATCATTCGAAATAAAGATGATATCTTTAATTATTATTTTTGCACATGAGAAAATAAAGAGATACTCTCATCAATCGTGTGACTGCGGTGATTGGATAGATAGATATACTTCTACTACTAGTGAACTAGCGCGTACTGTTTTACCTTTCTTTATTAGCATCGCTCATTCTGGCGTTATTGTGGAAAACTTAGCATACCATTTAGTATAAAAATGTTTCTATTTTCTTAAGTTTATAGATGATTTTCATTTAGCTACTACATTTAAACATGCTTACCTGCAAAATTCAGCCTTCGACTTGGGAATTTCTTGAGTATCGTGAGTTTGAGCAGCAACAGTAGTCATACATCCAATGTAGTCTTGTTGAACCTCACTCCTTATGAAGTTCTTCATGCAACGAGGAATTTCTGGAGCTAAAAATGAATTAAATTGTAAATATATTTTTTTGGCTACAAGAAGAGAGACCAGATTTCAACTGTCTTATTAATGGATGGGCAGTTAAGAAAGTTGAATCGTTTAAAGACCTGTTAAAATTTAACTCATTTGTTTTCAATGAGTTATGTTCAAGCAGTGGATTGGGATACATTTTGGTATCGTATGCATTAAAAGACTTGCTGTTGTGAATATGTAAGACCAAATCACTGTCATATACTAAAAACAATAGGGGGCCTAGCACCGATCCCTATGGTACCTCACTAGGTACTTCACTGTTAACCTGTAGATTAAAGGAAGATGACTCTCCAACTTTTAAACCAAAATATCTACTGGTAAGATAATTTTTGATCCACATGTTTAGATTTCATCGGGTACCAAAATGTTTTAATTTAAGTAACATTCTTTTATGGGCTACCCTATACAGGATAGCGAAAAGGTTTTTTCTTTGAAACGAACGAATGTATCATTATGAAATTGTAGAGTAATGAGCAGGACTGCATTTTGCATTTTTTAGATGACATGTCAAATTAATGTAACTTCAGCTTAGGAGCTATTTAGATAGTTTCCTCTCTGTGATGATGATAATTTTCATCTAGAACACTTCTTTTACCTCAATTAAGCTCGATTGGACAATTCGTTTGTGTGTAACCTTCTCTTGAAGGAAAAGTTGATCACGGTATTCTAATTTATTATGGTGTATAGCGCTCCTGTCTTCAATTTATCCTTGAATAGTTAGTATATGTACTACCAAAGGACATTAGTCATTGTTTCTAGGTCTTTTCAGTGTGCACGTAGTATGATTGTAATCATAAGCATACGAGTCGGTGTGGGTAACCAATAAAATTATAAAACAAGAACAAGTAGTTTAAAGAATTACTAACTTTTACAAATTACTCCAAATTCTTTATGGAAATTGGTCCATTTTTAAAAAAGGATGATCTACTCTACTTACTAAAATGTTCATTGATTGAATATACTCACATGCTAAAACAGGTTTGTCATCGTACATGAAACTGACTAGAGATTTGGCTAAGTCTAAAACGAATTCTGGGAAGTACTTCTGTTCTTCTGGTAAGCAATCTTTAGTTTCAGTAATAGCCTGTTTGCTGCAGGATACAATATTGTCAATATATTCTGCTTTTGGTACTGAAAATATTCTTGGGCTTGACATACATTGTGTCATTTTATCGAATGTGTTCTAAAATAAAAAAAATACAAATGTTATACAATTTTTGTATAATTGAACTTTCTGTAACAATTTGAAGCAATGTGTGATATATTATGGGATTCAGCTTAGCAAGGAAAATTGTACAATAGGAAAGAACAAATTAAAATCAAAAAACGATCTGTTTCGGGAATTTTTAACAGTATTGTTAATTTAGCTAATAATGAATTTAGACTTTATTTTATGGAGGTACTGTATGTAATTGAAGACATTTTTAAAAATGGTATACTTAGAAGATAGTACGAGGCCTGTCTAAAAAGTATCAGACCTTAATTTTTCCTGAGCAAACTAGTGATATAAGGCGGTGCCACTACGCACGGTTGAAGGAGGAACCTTAATGCGCATGCTTAAATTTTTTCACAGTGCAAGTCGCTAGCTGGTGGTCGCAAAGTAAGGTGCTGTTCTTAGTGTTCGTCAGATTTAGTTTTCTCGCAAGATGACTGAACGAATTGAGCAAATATACTGCATCAAATTCTGTCAAAAGCTTGGCGATTCTCAAAGCCAAACAATTCGTAAGATTCAGCAGGTGTTTGAAGAAGATGCGATGGGTGTAACACAAATTAAGAAGTGATTCAGCCGATTCACAGATGGCCGTACTGTTTCAGACTCGAACACAAGTGACATAAAATGGGATGTCCCTCAAGGTTCTGTTCTTGGGCCCACCCTGTTTTTAATTTATATCAATGATTTAGGTAAGTTAAATATCTCAGGAAGCTTCACTCTATTTGCTGACGATACTACTATCTTGTGGCACAATAAAGACGTCAATATTCTTTATAAAAATATTAGTAATGACCTAAAATCCTTTAAAACATGGTGCACTGCAAATTTTCTGTCATTAAATTTTATAAAAACAAAAATACTAACCTTTAAATGTAATGTTCCTGATATTTTAATAGATATGGATACTGTAGAAGCCACAAATTGTACAAAATTTTTGGATTTAAATATCGACATGGATTTGAAATTCAAATCTCGTGGGGATTCACTTTTAAAAAAACTCGCATCGGGTTGTTATGCCATTAGAACCACCTCTCATGAATTGGGAATTTGTGCAGCAAAAACTGCATATTATGCGTTAGTTGACTCCCATCTACGTTATGCTGTTCAGTTTTGGGGAGTCTGTTCTGCCGAGTTATTTGACAGAGTCTTTATAATGCAGAAACGGGCAATAAGGTTCTTATGTGGAGCACACAGATTAGTTTCATGCAGACTGCTGTTCTTAAAATAAGAAATATTAACATTAACATCTTTATTTATCTTAGAAACTTGTTGCATGATCCATAAGAACAAGTCGAAATATAAATCGAATACATCCCGTGTAACTCGCCAAACGGGTAACTTGAAGTTGCCTATTCCCAAAACTGAACTAATAAGAGACTCTTTTATATACAATGGTATCAAAATGTACAATAGGCTATCACATACGTTGACAGATGTTAAGTCACAGAATTGTTTTAGAAAGCTGCTCAAGAGATTTCTGTTAACTAGGCCTTATTATAATATTATATAATTTTATAATGACGAGACACTGTGATATGTGTTTTATTTTGTTTTGTTCTATTTTATTTTAGATGTATGAATTAATGTTAATTTATAAGAATGTTCGTTTATATTTTAATGACTATTTATTTATTTGTAATTTGTATACTATTTGTACAATATTGTGTTTGTATGACTATTTATTTATTTATTTGTAATTTGTACAATATTGTGTTTGTCAATAAGTATTTTAACTTGGACAATAAACATATATTCTCTCTCTCTCTCTCTCTCTCTCTCTCTTTCTCTCACATCAGCAGAGAATGAGCAGCGTTGTGGCAGGCCTCAAACTGCTCGGAGTGCAGCTAATGTTGAGAGGGTGCGAAATTTGATAATGGCCGATCATATTTTGACAGTGCAGGAGATTGCAGAAGAGGTTAGAGTGAATAAAGATTCTGCACATGCAATTTTGCGTGAAAATTTAAACATGTACCGGGTAACTGCGAAAAGTTGTTGTCGCCGGAACAAAGAGATCTTTGTTTTGATACTGCACAAGACCTTCTGGACACCACCAACACTGATCCTGGGTTTTTGAACACTGTGATAACTGGAGATAAGTCATGGGTGTACGGGTACGATTTAGAAACAAAAAGACTGTCGTCGCAATGGAAGCATCCCGATTCTTCAAGGCCGAAAAAAGCACGTCAGGTGCAAAGCAAAATAAAAGTGATGCTGACTATTTTCTTTGATGCCCGTGGATTGTGCATCACGAATACGCACCGGAAGGACAAACAGTGACAAAGGAGTACTATTAAGATGTTCTCCGGTGACTCTGTGACGCAGTTCGGCGCAAAAGACCAGACATGTGGACGGCGAACAACTAGCACTTGCGTCATGATAACGCCCCTGCACATTCAGCCCAATTAATCAACACTTTCTTAGCCAAACATGGAATTACGACCATTCGCCAACCTCACTACTCTCCAGACTTGGCCCCTTGCGACTTCTGGTTGTTTCCAAAATTGAAGACGCCACTGAAAGGATCCCGTTTTAAGAGTAGAGAAAAGATAATACGGAACGCGACGACGGAGCTGAACATCATTCCAAAAGAAGACTTCCAGAGGTGTTTCCAGCAGTGAAAGGATCGGTGGGCTAAGTGTGTGCAAGCACAAGGGGTCTACTTTAAAGGGGATTAGGATCCCAACTCCATCAGCTATTTGAAATATTTTTTCTGGCCAAAGATCGGATACTTTTTAGACAGGCCTCGTACATATCATAAACTGTTTAAAATGAGCTTGAAACACTATCTAGTAGTCAAATGCCATACTTGCCATATGAGAGGTCCGTTTCATGTAAAGAGAACACTCATATTCTAGTTTGACTGTTTTAGATCTATCACCGTTCTTTACTTGTTACAAAATTCCACAAGAATAACATGTCTAACTAAGTTTCTGTATAATGTATCACAATGCTAAAAATATAGCATACTGAATGTAAAAAAATAATAAAAATGAATAATTGCTTTTGAGATAACAGTAAGTATTCTGAAAAACCAATATTTTCCTTTAAATCATCAATTTTTATAACTATGAAATACCTGTAGACTCTCAGCACCATCATAGGAAAGTCCGTTAGCTTTGCAATTATAAATTACATTCTTTTCTGTTTGCTTCAGAAAAACACCGCCCATGCCGCTTATGGCTTCTCTGGTTACCCTCCTGATAACTAAAAATTAAGTTATTAATTTTTTTATCTAATTCTCCGCTTTTTGAATGTTTTCAATTGTTTAAGCTCACCTGCTCTCTTTTCTGAACCCTCATCTGCATATACCAAACCTGAAAAAAAAAAAAAATAAAATAAAAATCTCTATGAAAACTGGAAAGAAAATTCTTGATCAAAGCTTTTGAAATTCGTGTTTTTTTCGCGAACGTGGCGTTTGATGTTTCGTAAATAAAAAGAATCAAGGCGATTCTGGAAAAGTGGCTTGTCATTCGAATTACTGAAATCATATCGACATCCTTTCTTCTTAAATTCGTGCACTTTTATTCTCAAGCTTTTCAAATTATTGATGCGTGGGTTACCGTTTTAGTTTTTACAAAAGCAATGAAAGAAAAAATAAATTGGTTTAAATCGTTTTATTGGTTTTTTTTTTTTGCCTTCTACCTTTATATTATTAAAGATGCCTCATTCTAAATAGTAATTTAAAAAATTGAATTGGAACTTTTAATTTTTTAAACCCAATATATTGTCATTTTTATACAGTGTTAACAATGATTTTAGTTCAGTTACTAACAAGACAAAATACGTATTTTCAATATTAATTTTTTTTTAAATATTGTAGATTTACAAAAAAAAAATGATAGCCTTTATTTGTTAGATAATTGTTAAAAATTGACTTGAAAGTTCATAAAATCCATTCTATATTTAAAAATGGCATACACCAATGAAAGCATTTAATTAATAACAAAAATAATATACAGGGTATCTGTAAAAGGTCTTTACAAAAATATACCACATATTCCTTAGACCAAAATAAGTCGATTTAATTAAAATTACCTTTGTACAAATTTGCTTCGTTTGGGCTCCAGAGGGCCTTGAAGTTACAATTTTTAAATCGTTTTTCCCATATAAATTTAAAACGGCATATGCGATTTTGCTAAAATTTTGTATATTTGTAGTTCTATGTGGCAAAAAAAATGGTATTAAAATGTTGTCCGATAATAATACATAGGCGTAGAACTTTATTTTTTAAATAATTACACCTTTAAAAATTCTACGCAAATGGAAGAAAAGGAGTTTGAGTATGAAATTTAGATTGCGCAACTCATTTACTTTAAAAAAGGTACTCTTGATACTCTCATGGTTTTGACGAAATTTGCATTTTAGTAATTTTAGAACATAAACAATAATTATTAAAATACAAACTTTGTCAAAACCATGGGAGTAAATCGAGTGTTATCAAGGGTACTTTTTTGTAGTAAATTTCATACCCAAACCTCTTTTCTGCCATTGGCGTAGAATTTTTAAAGGTGCAATTATTTAAAAAATCAAGTTCTACGCCTATGTATTATTATCGGACAAAATTTTATACGATGAAAAACATAAAAATGTACTTTTTTCATATCTTCTTCAACACCTCTAATCGAGACTTTTAACAAAAATAATTGATTCTTGCCATGTACGATTTTTTGAGGAATATTAATTATTTGCCTGCAATACGTATACAAAAACATTTATTGTTGGTTTCCAGAGTTTTATCTAAATAAAAATATTGCAAAGTTTTAACACCTAATCTCTTGTTAACGATTGAAAGTGTTCTATCTAACTCAAATGATTCAAAGTGTTCTATCTAACTCAATAATTAAAAAAACAAATGCGTGGTTTATTAATATGGCTGTACAATATACCAATGCAGAATATACCGATATGTAACTGACATTAGGATTTTGTGAAGGAAGTGCTCGAGAGAGTGTCAGGGTGTACTCGAAAGGTTTCCAAATCGTCGTGTCCCTATCCACCCAACTTTTGCTGCTGTTGAGAGACGTCTTCGGGAGACCGGTTCCTTTGCTCCCAACACTGTTTATAATGGAAGAGAACGTTTTGTAAGGATTCCTGAAGTTGAAGAAGACATTTTAGAACGTGTTGAAGTAGATCCAGAATTAAGCACCAGATGAATTGGAAGGGATCTAGAAGTTAAGATGTCGTTCATTAAGTGCTTAGAGAACAATTGCTATATCCATACCATAAGAAGCCAGTACAAGAATTATTAGTCCATGATCCTCAAATTCGTTTGGGTTTTTGTCAAATTGTTAATATGCAAAGAGAAAGAGATCCAAACTTTGTCAAAAAGGTTCTCTTTACCGATGAAGCGGGTTTTACAAGAAGGGGTATAACTAATACCCATAATGAACATGTTTATGCCGTTGAAAATCCGCATGCAATAAAAGTAAACCATTTTCAGCACGACTTCAAAATTAATGTGTGAGCTGGAATAATTGATAATTTCAATGTTGGTCCTGTCATACTTCCACGAAGATTAACTGAAAAAAATTATTTGGATTTTCTACAAAATACGTTGCCAGAATTGTTAGAAGATTTACCTCTCCAACTTCGGAGAGATATGTGGTTCATGCATTTTCCTTTAAACGTTAGAAACCACTTGAATGAACAATATCCAAACAAATGGATAGGCAGAGGTAATGACGCACCTGTAAACTGGCCACCACGTTCCCCACACCTAACACCGATGGATTACTTTTTATAGGGACATCTGAAATCCACAGTTTACAGGGAACCTGTAGAAAATGAGGAACAACTCTGGCAACGTATTCAAGATGCAATAAACAATCTTAGAGGTGATGAAGAAGTTATGGAAAGGATACATTTTAATTATCTTCGACGTATAAATCTTTGTATGCGTGAAAATTGTGAACATTTTGAACAAGTTTTGTAAAATTTTTAGTTTGATTATGTTGTAAATAAATATTTTTGTGAAACCTATACACTCTAAATTATTAAAACAGAAATTTAGCGAAAACCATGAGAGTAATCGAGTCTTATCAAGAGTACCTTTTCTGAAGTAAATGAGTTGCGCAATCTAAATTTCATACTTAAACTTCTTTTCTTCCATTGGCGTAGAATTTTTAAAGGTGCAATTATTTAAAAAATCAAGTTCTACGCATATGTATTATATCGGACAAAATTTTAATACCATTTTTTTCCACATAAAACTCTACTAATATACCAAATTTCAGCAAAATTGCATATGCCGTTTTAAATTTATATGGGAAAAACGATTTAAAAATTGTAACTCAAGGCCCTCTGGAGCCCAAACGAAGCAACTTTGTACTAAGGTAATTTTACTTAAATCCCCTTTTTTTGTCTAAGGAATATGTGGTATGTTTTTGTAAAGACCTTTTACAGACACCCTACCCTGTAGAGTTGCCTTTTAACTACTGATTAAAAAAAAAAGAAAAACTTTACAAAAAAATATAAAAGTTTATTTTAGGAATTAGATATTATGATAACGAATTTTTAAATATTTTTACAATTAAATTTTTTTAAAAGTTTCAAAATTTAATATCTACATGAGAATCCCCTCTCTTGCTATATTTTAATTCACTTATATATAAATTTTTTTTAACTAATTTTTTTATTATAAACTTTTTTTTAAGTAAAATGAACTGGTTAAAATTTGTTATTAAAAAATAATTTTTTCAACCTACACTGAATGTAAATGTAATGTTTCCTATGGATTATTAATTTTTGTTAGATTAAAAAAAAAACATTCCTACATAAAGTCAAAGAAATAAATAACCGAAAAAAAAAATTAAAAAAATAGAACTTACTGATTGCTACAGCCACAAAAACAATAAATCCCTTCATGATGAATAATTATTATTACTTATCAACACAACAATTTTAAACCTTATAATTATTATTGAAGTATAGCTTTTATAAGTAGAACGGATTATCCCCTCTTGGCCTACAAATTGACCTGTTGATAACTTTTCCAATATTAGAAGCAATTGATGCTGATATGTAAAATAATTATTATTACTTGGATTTCCTTTGCATGGCATTAGTCAAGAACATACATATCATAAATAACAATTATCAAGAATTCATAATGTTTATCGTTTATCGTATTCAAACGATTTAGTGATTCAGTCTATTGAGTCAGATTTTTTTATTATTATTATCTAAATATTGGTTAATATAGGGTGGTTTCATAGGGAAACGGAAATAAGTTATTGATGTGGTTCTAAATACAGGGTATCCCGAATTTAGACGGTCATATTTTAACAACGAAATCTGCATGCTAAAATAGGAGTAAAAGTTTATATAAACGTAATATTAATAAAATAAATAATTGGTATTTAATAAATAATCTTTCATTTAATTCAAAAAAAAATCTAACATAGCGTCATATACCAAAAACGATTTTTCAATTCTCTCTAACTACTGTTTGGATAGTGTTATATTAAAGAGGCCTGATTTTATTATATATCTTGGTGTAAAGTTCGATAGAAAACTTACCTTTAATGAACATCCAAATGACGTGATAAAAGCATCATTCAGAAATTTGTGATTTATCATTAGGCAGTTGACCTCAATTCTATCGAAACCATGAATATATTGTACAATGCGTTCAATTCGAATATGCTTCATTGATATGGAAACCATTTTATGATGTTATTCAAGCGCTCTTGAAAACGTTCAAAGACGATATCTAAAATTCTTGGTATTAAAGATAGACGAAACATATCTATTAATTGGGATAAATGACACATTGCTTCTAAATAGATTTCAAATGCATAGCTTAGAATGTAGACGAAAAATTCAATCGTTAATATTCCCGTATAAACTTATTAACTACCAAATTGATTGTTTGGAGTTATTGGAACAACTTGCATTTAAAGTTCCAAGAATTGGATCTCGAAACAACTTAATGTTTTTATCATATACAAATTATACAAATTATAAAAAACTCTTTTATATAAACTCTGTCTCGTGGGATGCTGTCTATTCTCAAGCTAATCCAGAATCTCCAACAAAGACTTTTATTAAAATTATTATTAAAAATACTAAATTATCCCCTTGGCTAACAAACGGTATTTTGTGTCTGTGAGAGAGAGAATGGCATTAGACTAAGTCTGTTTGCCACAAAATGAGGAATATATATACAAAAACTTTATTACAATGATTTTTAAAACCAAATTATAAAACGGTATTTTACAGTCTATTAATACTAAAAACAGAATGTTTAAAGAAACTTTAAATAATCCCAGCAATGAAATTCTAAAAAATCAGTATAAAAGATACCGTAATAGTGCAATAAATCTCATTTCAAAAACAAAGTATGAATTCTATAAAAAACAAATTAAAACTAATTCTGGTGATTCTAAAAACATGTGGGAAATTCTAAACAAATTAACAGGTTAGAACAAGAAAAATTAAAAAATTAGTAAAATAATTGATATTGAAGGAAAACACCTAACAAATCCAAAACATATATGTATTGAATTTAATCAACAATTTATCAAAATGGGAAAGAATCTGGCCAAAAAAAATTACAAAAACTTACTACCAAGATCAACAGCAACCACCAGTCAATTCTATGATGTTGTCTCCTACTGAAGAAAATGAAATCATTAAAGTTATCGCTGAGTTAAAAAATAAAAAAGCAGTAGGAACCGACGAAATACAAGCAGAAATCCTAAAACAAATTTCAAAAGAAAATGCGGGCCCACTCAAACACATTATAAATATGGGCTTTAAAAAAGGTGTATTTCCTGATACTTTAAAAGAAACAATTGTAACACCGATCTACAAAAAAAGCGTAAAAATTAACTTAATAACTACCCGACCAGCATCTTTGACAACTCATATATTTAAGATCTTTGAAAGGATAATAAAAATTAGACTCACTTCATATATGTCTAAGTACAAAATATTATCTCCAAAACAGTATGGTTTTAAAGAAAATTCTTCAACAGAAGATGCCATCCTAGCGTTAGTAGAAAAAATGAACAAAGCTCTAGATAAAGGTAGACAATGTATGTGTGTATTTATGGATCTTACAAAAGCTTCTGATACTGTAAGTCATGAGCTACTCTTACAGTCTCTTAAAGATATGGGAATAAGAGGAAACCGCCAAAAAATGTTTACAAATAGAAGGGAGATTGTTAGAGTTGCTAATAAAACGGGTAACTCTGAAATACTAAAGTATGGTGTTCCTCAGGGTACTGTTTTTGGGCCTATACTTTTTAATTCATATATAAACGGACTAATATTTTATGAGGGACAAGACTGGAATACTCTAAAAAAAGTTGCTGAAAATTATTTCGCTTCTATTAAGCAATTCTTAGACTCAAAATTACTGACGTTAAATCTAGAAAAAACAAAATACTTACTCATCAGTTGCAATGCAGGTGGATTACCAGAATTTCAAAGTTTAAAGATCACTAGCAATGGAAAAGTGTATTATATTTTATCTGAAACAGAATATAAGTATATTGGCATGTATATTGGTAGACATTTAAAATGGGATTGTCACATAAATTATACAGTTAAAAAGCTACAAATTATTCTCTATAAATTTAAATTTTTAAAAAAACATTTGCCCCTAGAACAACTTCGAACTTTATACTATTCTCTTGTAGAAAGTCATATACGTTATGGTATTGTAGCATAGGGTAGTGTTCTGTATAGTCACATTAATAAAATAGAAATAATACAACGCAGATTTTTGAAATTAATATTGAATAAAAATTTTAAATACTTATCAGATATACTTTACGACGAAAGCAAAATATTAGATATAAGACAAATGTACTTTGTCTTCACCAATCTAAAATATTACCCTACTAGACTCACAGCTACAATACCATCTCATACTTACCTAACCCGGAATAGAAAACCATATTGTACCCTTGGTGGAAAGATTTTTAACTCAAAGGTCTTTTTCATATCTAGGGCCTAAGATGTATAATCACTTACCAGAGAAAGTGCAATCCAAGGTTATTTTCCATTTGTTCAAGAAATATTTAAAAATATTTACTTTCAATACCCCAAGAAAATATATTTCAGATCTAATTGAAAATAAAATCTAAAAAGTACTCACTATTTATGAAGGATTGATGTTTTCGTATTATAATTTATTAAGTAATATTTATATCAGACAAAGCGATGGTATGATCCATTTCTCAGTCACTTAACGGGAGACAATTTATTCATTTCTCTTTTTTTCTGTATCAAATGTGTTTTTATAGGTACTATTTTAATGAATAAATTATTATTATTATTATTTTTTTTTTTTAATTTGGTATCATCGGCGTCGACCACTACGGCCATTAGCCTCTATTATTATTATTATTATTATTATCTCGGACAAATTTATTAAAAAACTCGCTGTTGTATTTTATATGTGAAAACTGCAAAAGACTGCAAGGTAGAATTGATTTATTTTCTTGTTAGCTTTTGCAGCTCATACAATTGTAAAGTTGTCCGAACTGTACGAAGGTTCAGAAAGATCTAAATCTTTTTTTCTTGATTCTCTAGAAACGGAAATGCATAGAATCAACTGCCAAGACCTCCCCTATTGGGCGAGTGCGTTTCGTAAAATATGTTTATTGAGTTCGGTAAGCGAACAAGCGATTCACCTTGAAAGTTTTGCCTTCAGGCGTCGAAATAAAATTAAAATGTAGTTATGTTCAGTTGCTTACGTCACAAACGCACACATGTGAGTAAGCATAGAGGTTTGGTGTTTTAATTTTAATTATTTTAGGATTTATTCGTTATCGTTTAAATTTAAATCATTTTAAAATTTATTTGTTATATTGAATGTATTTTCAAGAGGCCTGAAGAACAAGAGGAGCTGGATGAAGAAGTTAGTCTTCAGGCGACCACTATCAAGCCAGAGAACGACGACGAATCACACTTAAAAGCCCAATAAAGACTAAAAAGAAAGACAATGATTTGAATGTTGTTCAAGAATGGAGTCAGACCTACATGGCAAGAGATAGCCAAATATAGTAGAACCATTAAAGGGTACTGGACTCAGTGAGATTCCTGGCCTATTGCACCGAAAGTTGGAGAGCCCCTATGAAGTACATGTAGCCCGCCAAGTCATACTGCCCAAATCACAGGTCAGAAATGTGTTAGAGGAATTTAATAGAAATCGTTCAGGATGACACTTTGGTACTAAAAAGACACTTGTACGAGTTCGGGAAAAATTTTATTGGGTCAATTGCCGACGGAATGTAGAAGATTGGTCTAAGCAATGTGACCTTTATAATGGCAGAAAAGAGCCCAAAACAAGAAGTCAAAGCACAGTATCTTTTCGGAGATCCTTTCTAACGAATCGCCATAAATATCATCGGTCCACTTCCCTTAACAAAAAGGGGAAACAAATACTTGATGGTTGTTATGAACTATTTTTTAAAGTGGCCTGAAATAGCACCTATTCCTAATCGGGAAGCAACGAAAGTAGCGGAAGCATTTATGGCGAACGTCATTGCGAGACACGGAGTCCCCCTGGAATTGCATTCTAACCAAAGAATTGATAAAAATGTATCAGGAAAACGCGCACTACGCCTCTTCACTCACAGTCTGGCGGAATATTAGAAAGACACAATAAAACGATATGCCAGTATTTTTCAATGTTCGTTTCTGGGACACTTGAATTCCTCTATTTCGGCTAGCCTACAGAAGTTCTAAACATGAAACGACTAGTTGTACTCCATCCATAATGATTACTGAAAGGGAGATGAAACTTTCATATGATCTACTTTTTGGAAAGCACCCTTCTGGTAAAGAAGAGGGCCGTATACCTTTCACATACATACAGAACTTAAGAAAAATATTAAAGAAGATATACGAATTCGCTTGGTAACGTTTGAAAGTTAATAACGATAAACCAAACGTTAGAATGGACATGCATGCTAAAGGGACACATTTTGAGATAGGTGATCTAGTATGGCTGCACAATCTTAAGCGCTGAAAAGGGCTTTTGCAACGAAACTGGGAAGGCCCCTATACCGTCCTCTAAAAAATCAGCGACCTAATCT